ACAGGGAACCCAAATACTTATTCGATGTTTCTAACTTGTCTGTAGGCGGTAACAGAATATCAGTCACTTTTGATTCTGAAGGTCAGAAAACCGAGGTKAAGTACAGTAGACTCAACATATGGAGAAATGTGTTGTCTGAGCAACATATACTCTATATGTCGTACGAATGTGGAACAGAGACTGGAGACCTCTTACGATGGAACGACTTCTTGAATATTCCTCTTAAATCTAGTGATATTCAGATTTACAAATCAACTTGTCGAGGAAAGGAAGGTATTCATTGATTATTTATGCATCATAATTCGAAACTATATTTGATACTGAAGGTATGATACAAATCGGCAATTGATAATAATTTCAGGATCTGTTCAGAGCGTAATTAGTCCATTGCTTCCTGAGACGTCAAGCTTGGCAACGATAGAGAGCCCGCGATACGAGAGGTCATCTAGTTCCTCTCTCAGATGCTTAAAGTTTAAGTATAAGATCTGGGGATCTGGAGCGAGATCGTTGAAGATATATCAAGAACTGGATGACAATGAACACACTAARAGACCCATATGGATGGTCAAAGACWKTGAAGACAGTAGATGGAGGGATGGACAAGTATCAGTAGTAGCAGTATCTGTATATAAGGTTAAATAATCATTCCCAGGAATAATTTGTAAAACTGATGACAAAGAATTTGTGGTTTTGTTTCTTAAGAAAATTACTAATATAAAATATGCAACTAAAATAGTATCTTTATAATATTGTTTTGAAGCTTGTTATCGAGGGAGAAATGACAAATAGGCCAGGGTTACTGTCTATAGGGGCTTTATACACTTCAGAGAGTACAAGTGAATGTGTATTAAATCCACTATCAGCGAGAGAAGGTAAGTTAACTATTAAAAAGCGTTCAACAAATTTAATATAATGCTTTAACTTCTTTCACTTCCAAGGCAAGAATTGCACAGAGCTTAAGATAATTCCCTTGAAAGAAATTATGCCAATAACTTTGAACTGAAACTTTGCATAGACAATAATTACATTATGGACATTGAAAAACTGCAATAAAAAGATGGAGTCACCATTCTCGTTTTTTCGCTAGATACTCTCCAAATATGTCAATTTGACAAATCATATGACAATCATATGACAAAACCTACTTATAACTCGAAGTTTACTAGATAATCTATACTATTAAATCCATCAAAGTCATYGGATGACTATGATTCTTGAACTATTAGTGAAAAATGCAGGTATGTGCGCCTCTAAGAACGTTCAAAAATTGCACATGTCAACTATTCTCATCAAAATATTTCAAAATMTATCCAATAAACTTTCCTTCATATTTTGATATATGATGACGAACATCGCATTTATCAAAAATCTGAAATAAAAAATGGGGGTCACCATTCTCGTGTTTGATTTATCTTGAAAAAAAAATCTCAAAATAGTCGGAAACGAACTGGGGCGAGTCAGATAAAAATCGCAATTTCTCTACTCAAAAAAGAGAAAAAAAGTGAAAATTGGTTTTGGACATGTTTCTTATTTAGTTTCCAAAAGAAAAATGCCTAAACTTTGCTAGTTCCATGCTTTTAGTTGCATGCGCAAAACCAGGGAATTACCTTAAGGTATGGACAGGGTTAATTTGCTTATATACGATAACCGCTAAAACAGAGCAAAAAGGTCAAGATCTTTTATTTACTTTTCCTTCATTTTGACAGCCACTACGTCATGATAAATGTTTTAAATAACTTGTTTATACCCTGTAATGTTTTATTTGTTAATACAGCTTGTAACGAGATTCTTACCGACGGAAAAGGCTACATTATGTCACCATTTTATCCTGATTTCCATGCAAATGATGAGAACTGTTCCTGGATAATCAAAGCCAGAAAAGGTCACGTGATTCGTTTGGAATTTAAAGCATTTGATTTGGAGTTGAGCCCGTGGTGTTTAGGTGACCACGTAGAAGTGTATGATGGAAACGTAGCCCTGTCGAGTTCTCGTATTGGTCGCTACTGTGGAAGGAGGTATCGTATTCGTATTTGCATATAAAATAGCAATATTTATAGTAATTATTTATAATTATTATTTAATAATTAGTAACTATTTATAGTAATATGATTATTTATAGTAATTATTTATAGTAATATTAATGTTAATATTTGTTTGTGTGTTTGGATGTTCGTATGTGGGTGGGATAGCTTGCAGTTGATTTCTTTATTGGAAAGGACATGCGCGCTGATTTACTGGCCACCGAGTTTATGTCAGAGTGCGGAAACACGGTCGTGATCACCGTAAAAATTACGAAAAGCATATAGAACGGCGGCTTCAGTTGTGTGTTTACACTTTAGTATCAAGTTTACAGAAACTGCAAATAGAGAACCCATTGCTTGTCAGCTTCTAAGCTTTTTCGTGACGTGCTCCGTTAAATACAATGTGACACGTTCCAATTCCCACCCTCGAATTTGGTATCAACATCCTGCAAAGCAATTGGAATAATCAAGGTCGGGCACGGCTATAATACTTATATATTAAGAATAAAGAAGAAAAAAAACAGAGAAACCGGAGATATGCCTCGAATCAAAGAAGAGAACAAATAATTTCTATGGACATTACCTATTCCAGAGGAATCGAACTCGAGCTAGACCCTACACGTGAGAGACGATAGCTCTGCCACTAAGAAACCTCTAATGTCCAATGATTACATGACCTAAATGGTCAAGATTTATTTTAAGCATGATTATTCTGCTCTGTTTACTTGCAGATATCCACAAATAATCCAGTCACAATCAAACATGTTAAAAATAGTATTTCAATCAAGCAAATCCGGTGAAGGTCAAGGATTCAAGATTTACTATCAGATGATAAAAGGTAAAAGTACAACAGATATATGTTAGAGATCACGAGGGAGGCTGTGAGGAGAAAAAAGACCTTAAATTTAAAGTAAAGATATATTTTCATATCATTGTTTCTTTTTCTACAGGTGCAAATGGTGACAGCTGTATTCAAGGTATGCTGGAGCGCGTTGACCCTTGCCTTCTGGTTATAGATCATATTTTCTTGTTTGTAAAAAGATGAGAAAGAACAATGGATTTTTGACCAATATTTCTCCCCTCAGACTGCCCCTCTTCATGTAACTGCCGGAGACTAGCAGATGGCGGAATCATCATGACTTCACATAAACTACAGTCTATTCCCAAGCGTCTGCCCAAGAAAACAAATGCTATGTAAGTATCAAGTCTTTACATAGACCTTTTGTACTCTCATGTCAAAACATTGAAAAAAATAATCAAATGTGAAAACCTTAATAAGAAAATCAAATCAGACTGCGGTGCAGTGAAGTCTGTCTACCTCAAAAAGTCGCACCGAATTCGTTTCATTTTCGTACAACTGTTTGCATTCTATCCATATATACATGTCAAGGCGCACGCATCTTTGGCGCCGTTATAATAAAGTACGATTTCATCATCATTTTTTATTTATAGATTATTTGGAGGGAATAAGATTTACCAA